CGGTTAAGGTTATAATAATAGAAGTTAAGTTAAATCAATCCTCGTGGGAACGATACTCGAAATTTTATAATTTCAACTTTATTACTTGTCAACGAACCGTACACTTGCGGTGATATAATTTCGAAATGTATTTTCGTGAACAACCACCAGCACAATAGGTATCCCCTTTTGTAATACAACCTATCTCAAACCAAAAACTACTTCTTGGATAATTGATACAGGAGCAACAAATCACATGATCTGTTCACTAGTCACTTCCATTGATTCAGCCACAACTACTAATGTTCATTACCAAATGGCACCTCTATACCAATCAGCCACATTAGGAAAGTTCAAATTTCTGAACACTTAATAATGTTCTATGTGTACCTTTATTTTCATTCAATCTTGTATGAGTTTCTGAACTAACAAAATCTTCCAATCTTTGTGTGATATTTTCTGCCTCTCATTGTTTTGTACAGGATCTATCCAACTTGAAGACGACTAGTTTTGCTAAGGAGAAATATGGCCTATATCAACTCCTGATTGTTCATAATAAACCTCTTTTCAGCCTATCAGTAGTCCAACAACCAATACTTTTCAACATACGAGCCATAACCTATGGCATCTCAGACTTGGCCACATATCCAATGCAAGAATGTCCAAAATTCCACACATTGCTTCTCAAATACCTTGTAACAATTTACATATATGTGAAATATGTCCTCTAGCAAAACAAAAGAAGTTACATTTCCTTATCAGTGAATCAATGTTGAATAAAATCTTTGATTTAGTTCATTGTGATATTTGAGGTCCATTTAGTGAACATTCCTTCAATAGTTACAGATTTTTTCTCACTATAGTTGATGATTATTCACGATGCACATGGGTTTTTATGATGCAGTCCAAATCTGAAACTCGTGGCCATATCAAATTTTTGTATCAAAATGGCCCTTACGCACTTCAATACCAAAATAAAGTCTATTAGATCCGATAATGGTGCCAAATTTATCATGCCAGATTTTTATAGTTTACATGGGATCTTACATCAAAGAAGTTGTGTGGAATCACCCCAACAAAATGGAATGGTGGAAAGAAAACATCAATTTATCCTACAAGTGGCCAGAGCACTCCTATTTCAATCAAATGTACCTATCACCTTTTGGAGTGACTGCATACTTACAGTCGCTCACCTCATAAATCGTATTCCATCATCTATTCTTAGCAATAAAACTCCTTATGAACTGCTAATCCAAAAGGCATTAGAATATGACCATCTCAAAGTCTTTGGTTGTCTTTGCTTTGCATTTACACTTAATGTTCATAGAAAAAAAATTTCCCCTCGAGCATCCAAGTGTGTATTTCTTGGATACCCTCTTAGATAGAAAGGTTACAAAGTATATGACCTACAAACTCGTGAGGTCTTTATTAGCAGGAATGTAATTTTTCATGAAAATTCATTTCCCTACAAACAAGTCTCATCACCTCACTCAACTACAAATCCACACATATTTCCTATACCTGAGCCTATGTTTCATTCCATACCACAAACAACCCAAGCTCCAGTACCTAACACCATTCCTACTACACTTAGCTCAGAAATAGTCCTTGTTGGTACAAATTCTAATCATACTACTCAACCATCATTGCCAGACTAATTCCAGTTTTAGTCCCCCTTCAAACTCTCTTGAGTTGTCAGACATTAATCTACCTAGTTCTTCTCTTCAACCCTCTCCCAGATGGTCTACTAGAACCAGACATCCACATTCTTATCTGAATAATTATAAATGTGATTTACCCTCTTCTTCCAATGCAATCCAGTATTCTACAATGCTGGCCAGACCATGTGCATCAGGTAAATTTTATTCCTTATCTCATTTCATTTCAACCAATCGTTTAGCTCCCAAACACAAAGCTTTTACTACATTAATTTCTAATGTTTTTGAACCAAAATACTATGGCCAAGCTATCAAGTTTCCACACTAGTAGGAAGCTATGAATACAGAAATCAAAGCTCTTGAAAAGAATAATACTTGGACTCTCATGCAGCTTCCACATGACAAACATACCATTGGATGCAAATGGGTTTATAAAGTCAAATTCAAAGCAGATAGCACTGTAGAAAGATATAAAGTGCGGCTGGTTGCTAAAGGATATACCCAACATAAAGGTCTTGATTTTTTTTAATGCTTTTTCTCATGTTGCCAAATTAACTTCTATCTGAGTGCTTTTAGAGTTCAATAGTAAATAATTGGTTTTTACACCAGTTAGATGTCAATAATGCTTTCTTGCATGGAGACTTACATGAGGAAGTCTATATGAGGCTGCCTCAAAGTTATCCTACTCAGGATTCTTCACTGGTTTGCAAATTAAATAAAAGCTTGTATGGACTTAACCAAGCATCTCGCCAATGGTTTGCAAAACTAATTACCAGCCTTATATCATATGGATTTCAACAATCCAAATCAGATTCTTCACTATTTCTTCGAGCTACAGCCGATTCATTTATGGTCCTTTTGGTTTATGTTGATGATATCTTACTTGCCAGTGACAATCTTCATGAAATCTAAGTTCTGAAGAAATTCTTAGATGATCATTTCACAATCAAGGATTTAGGGGAATTAAAGTATATGCTTGGACTGGAGGTTGCAAGATCACAATTGGGAATCGGCCTTTGCCAAAGAAAATATGCCGGAGACATATTAGAAAATTCTAGTTTTTCTAGCTGCAAACCAATAGCATTCCCAATGGAGTTTACTATCAAATTGAAATCAGAGGACTCTAATCTATTGTCTGATCCCTCAATCTATAGTCGACTCATTGGCATATTGATATATCTCACCATAACTATAACATATTATGTCCAGGTCCTTAGCCAGTTTATGTATAAACCTGCTCAATCCCATTTGGATGCAGCTCACAGGGTCCTCAGGTACATTAAAGCTACCCCCGGCCAAGGCTTATTCTTTCCCACAAATTCAAATTTACATTTTAAGGCTTATAGTGATAGTGATTGGGCTGGTTGCCTTGATACTATTAGCAGTAACAAATCTTGACAAAAATATATGATGGAGGACAGCAAGGAATCATTGAAGACAAATTGATCAA